GTGTGTGTGTGTATGTGTGTGTGTGTGTGTATACAGTGGAACCTGCCATGACGGCCACCTGTATAATATGGCCACCTGTGCTAACGGCCACTTCCCATGCCCCCCCCCTACGTTTTTTTTACAACTTTACTGTATAAAACGGTCACCTGTCCAACGCGGCCGCGGCCACATTATCTTATCAACACACTGTCAAATGTACCTGCCTCAGACGGCCAGGCGTGGTCACTCATTGTCCGACGCTTTGTAATAAATTTTGAATCGGCCCCCCAAGCTGTGGATACTTATTTACTTACTTACTACCCCTTACGCCATCTGGCGTTGAGGGCAGCAACAAAGGATCTCCAGCTCTGTCTGTTTCGGGCCATCTTGGTCAGCGTTCCCCACGAATGATTCCAGGACTTCATTTCAGACTTTACTGTGCGTCTCCAGGTCACTTTGGGTCTGCCCCTTTTGCGACGTCCTTCGGGTGTCCAGTGGAGGGCAGTCTTCACAATAGAGTCTGGTTCTCTTCTCAGAACATGTCCAATCCATCTCCATCTTCACCTTTTTATTAGGGTTGTCATGTCCTCTTGCCTACATTTACGTAACACATCTGCGTTGGAAATCTTGTCGGCCCAGAAGATTCTGAGGATTTGGCGTAAGCTGGTTGTATGAAAGGAAAATAGCTTGGTACTGTCATGATCAGTCCTCCTCCAGCATTCAGCTCCGTATAGGAGTGTGGATAGTACACAGCTGCTATACAGCTTTAACTTGGTTTGTACACTAAACTGTCATGACTGCCAGATGTTGATCATGCTTTTGTGTACAGATCTTGCCTTGCCAAGTCTGTTCATGATGTGTTCCTTTGTGCCGCCGTCAGTTTTGATTATGCTGCCTCGGTAGGTAAATGTGTCTGTTATAGGGAGGTATGTGTTGTTCACCCTAATCAGCGTTGGGGAGCCTACATTCAGTGTCATCACTTCTGGCTTATTCTGGCTTATTCTTAACTTAATCTGGCGTCCATATTTGTGGAGTCGGTTTGTTTTTTTCCTGCATGTGCTGGTTGGTATGGGAGAGTAGTGCAAGGTCGTCGGCAAAGTCAAGATCCTCGAAGGTGGAGAAGAGGGTCCACCTTATGCCTCTTGATGTATCCTCTGTTGTTTTCCCCATGGCCCAGTCAATGGCCAGGTTGAAGAGAATTGCTGACAAGTTGCATCCTTGTCTAACTCCTGTCTTTACCTCAAAAGCAATCGTACTGTTTCCAACAACGCACTTGAAGTTTTGGTAGAAGCTCTTGATGACCTCTACTATCTTGCAAGGGATTCCATAAGATCGTAGAATGTACCAAAGACTTTCTCTATGAACACTGTCGAAAAGTTGACATAAAGTTGTCTCTGCCATTCCGTGCACTGTTCTATTATGTTGCGGAGGGCAAATATCTGATCTGTGCATCTTCTTTCTTTGCGGAATCCTGCCTGTTCTTTTCTTAAGCAGCTGTCCACGCCATCCGACATCCGATTAATAATAATCTTGGCCAGGATCTTGCTGGGAACTGACAGCAACGTGATACCTCTCCAGTTGTTGCAGTCTCCGAGAGCTCCTTTCTTTTGGTACTTTAACAATGACTCCAGTGCTCCAGTCCTCGGGAATCTGCTCTCCCTCCCATATGGTTTTGAATAGTGGCTGAAGAATGGTGGCAGTCAGTTCTGGGTCTACTTTAAACAATTCAGCATTTAGGTTGTCCATTCCTGTGGATGGGCCGTCATAATTCGTTCACCTGTCGTTTTTGTTAGTCCCTCCAATGACTGTTTTCCCAAGTTAACCAATGAGAAGGCCTAACAATACATTTTCAACTGCTGGTGAGGGAAGCGTGATCCGTCATAACCTGTAAGTCCCGCCCACAATTCATGCTCAAATCGTGTGTGAGGTGACTGATCACTGTTTTGTTTACCTAATCTGTAAAAAAGTAACAATGGACGTTGACTTGAACTTGTGACAGAAGCGTCGCTCGCTCTCCGAGTGTTGGCGACCCGTGTGTTTGTTTTACCATGGCATTCGGTCTTCGTCGTCTTACTTACATAATTTTTTTTTTAGATTATCCTTGCTCAAAATCAGCAACAAAAAGAAAGCTAACCAAAACCAAAACAACAACACACAAAAAAAACGTTCTTTAACTACCCTCCCCCTTTAAAAGAAAGAAGAAAACAAAAACTCTTTTGAATCAGCCTTACAGTAGTCCAAAGCCTGGCATCAGCCCCGGTTTAGACTCGGAAGAGAATGATTTGCTTTCTTCATTTTGATCAGTCCTGCCTAAGACGGCCACCTGTGTTATACCACAGCCACTTTTCTACTTGATAATGGGAGGCCGTTTTACACAATATATTTTTATATATATATATATATATATATATATATATATATATATATATATATATATATATATATATATATATATATATATATATATATGCGCGCCCAGAGGTGTGTGTCCACAGACGCGCCCATACCTGAGCTCACACATACCCTGCTCACCTCTCTTGCTTCAACAGCACAGAGTGTGCGGCGACTATCGAGGCACCCACAAGAGAGTGACACA